TGAAAAGGGTGGGGCCGGGGGAGGGGGGGGGGGGGGAGAACCATCCAGAGGCGCACAGATGTTCTTGCAGAATTATGCTGGGGGTGGGTGAGGGGGGTGTGAAATGGACGATACCTCCAGAAACTAGCTCCGGGGCTATGTGCCGACAGCTCAGCCTCCGCGCAGAGCTCTTGCCCGGGGAGAAGGCAGCGGGAGCTGCAGCTACTTTGCACAACAATGAGCGCGTGCAGCGGAGCGGCGCCGAGCGCTGCCTCCCCCGGCTCCCGACTAGCCCGCCCGCAGCCCAGCCTCCCCGCGCGGCGCCCTTACCTTCCCTGCAGGGCACCGCCGCGGCTTTGCCTGTAGCTGCCGCTCCCGGCCTCCCGCGGTAAGCTGCCGCCGCCGAGGGGAGGAGGCGGAGGGGAGCAGCGAGCCGCGCGGCGGGCAGGCAGCGCTTCCTCCCGGCGCTGAATGAAACTCTCCCGGGCGCTGCTGGCGGCGAGGGGAGGCAGGGCAGCCGGGCTCTTCCCACCGCCCCCACGCGCGGAGGGGAGCTACGGGCCCTGCAGCGCCCCGCGCCCCCTGCTCCCACGCGGCTGCGCCCGCCTCCTGGCCTTGCTTTTGCTTTGCCGAGAGGAAGCGGCCGCTCGGGAGACGGCCCCGCAGGTCTGGCGGCGCGGCCCGGGCTGCAATGGTTTCGTCCACGCTGAAATGGGGAGGGACGGGGGCGGGAGGGCTGCTACACACACAATGGGCTGAGCTAGCCAGGCTCTGGGCTGCAGCAGCTGGGGGGGGAGCCTCAGTCGAGCCAAGCGCAACCAAGCCGGGCTCTGCAGCACAGACGCGGCGGGCAAGGGGTCTTAGCTCCGCGGCGGGCAGCCGAGGTCGGGGCCAGGGTTCAGGGCTGGCGCCGGGCTTTTCCACCGGCACACACTGTCTCTGTGCGCGCCCGCACACGCTCTTGTGAAGCTAGAGTGGCAGCTGATTAGCAGCCCCATGCCAGTGCTAGCCCACGATGACGTGACCCCTGCTGCCCACATTTTAATAGCGCGGTCTCTAAAGGAGTAATGGTGATAAAAAATAATGGGTAATAATCTTGCCCCATTGTAAAAGAGTTTTGTTATTGGCGTCAATGGGGCAGCGTTTTATCCAGAAAATCCTTCAAAGGGGGAAGGGGAGAAGGAGCCAGAATTTCATCCAACAGATCCTGGAAAGTGGGCCCCAGAAGTTACTTCACTATGAAATAGATGGGTTTTAGTGAAATACCACTGAGCCAAGATGGGATGTTTCAGGCAGCATAGGGGGAATTTTGAAAACATGTGTGGCGGTAAAAGCAACGCTCACTTTCCCTTGGTACAAGAAATGAGAAATTCATGTACCAAAGCAGTTAATTTTGATCATTGTTGATTGGGCTATGGGGTATGTTTTAGTCAGACTGCACCAGTGAAAAATCTAAAGGAGCTTCATTGGAATGGAGTCAACTGGTTATGTTGAGTATTGAGAGATGCATATGACACAATGGGCTACAACCTCCGCTGCTGTAAATCAACCACATTGACTTCAATGCCTATTTATGTCCTCTGAGGAACTGACCAGTAGTAACTCCTAATTTACACTAAGCTGTTTGTTACATAATTGTCAATCTTAGTAGCGCAGATGGTAATGAATATTTATTTTGCACTCACAGCAATCATCTTTGGAATGTACAAAAGCTATAGCATCAGAGAAGTAGCCCTGTTAGTCTGAATCTGCAAAAGCGGAGAGGAGTCCTGTGGCACCTTATAGACTAACTGAAGTGTTGGAGCATAAGCTTTCGTGGGCAAAGACCCACTTCGTCAGATGCTATAGCAAATGCAATTCTTACACATAAACTTTGAAGCTTGTTTAGACTTGTTTTTCTGGTCTGTGCCACACACATGTACTGATACCTTTACTAGTCACATATTTACTAACTCATTTACCCTCATTTCCTGTTCATTTACACATCCAGGTGTCCATATGATTGTTCTTACACACCTTTTCTCCTTTTCACAATACTTAATCATTCTTCCCCTATGCATACTCCTATTTTTCTACATTTCTAATCTGAGCCCTTCACCCAGTTCTCTGGCTGAGTTTGACTTACTGTCCCTTGATGCAGGTTCTCACTCCTTTTGCAATCACAATAGATCCCATTCATTAGAAGTGAAGTTTAATTAGGTATATATTGCGTAGGCCTTCTCCTACAGACATCTGCATGAGAAGAGCACAACCAGAATGGCTGTGTACAGTGGTCTCTGCACCCTCCTACATTACATAGGGGAGGAGGCAGCCCTGAACACAATGACACAATGGAAGAGGGCTGAGAGAGTGTAAACAGCAGCCCTAAATGCAGATTCAGTGACCCCCCAAAAACCAGTGTAGGAGTAGCAGCTACTATTACAGCTAATATATTTGATTATTAGCACATTAACCTAGTGTTGCTCAGGTCCTTAAGGAGGGGCTCAGGGCTGAGAGTGTGGGGGTGCAGGAGTCAAGGTTAGGGGTTGAGGAGGTGCTCAGAGCAGGAGGTGGAGGGGCTCAAAGAAGGGGGAGTTGAAGGAGTCAGGGCAGGGGGTTGGGAGGTGTGGGGGGCCTCGGGGCAGGAGGCAGAGGTGTAGTAATCAGGAGGGAGTGAGAAGGCTTTGAGTAAAAATGTGGAGGGCAGGACATTGGGTGGGTGGGGGGCTCAGGGCAGGACTAGGATGGTGGGGAATGCACTGCCTGGCCAGCAACTCCTCAGGGCTGGCCAGGGCTGTACTGGCTAAGTGAAGGCTTCCTTTGGCTGGCTAGAGCAAGGGGGTGTGGTGCCTGGCTAGTGGATCCCAGGGCAGCGGGAGGCCACGCTGCCCGGCTATCAACTCACCAGCACAGGAACCCTACCTGAGTATAGTGCCTGGCAGTATCCACAACCCTGCCCTTAGCCATGCACTCTCTTACCAGTGCACTTGATCGCCTGTGGTCATTCTACAGTATAACCTCCCTTTCCATTTTATGAGAAACAGTCATATTCCAGACACATCCCTTTGTCCTGGGACAACTAAACCCTTCCCTTGCTTTAAGTTATAAGAGAAAGCTGCATACCAAATGTGTTGATCCTAGCTCTTAACATTTAGGAGGAGTTCTTGCACTGCATATCAACAACCTGTTCACAGGTTATTTGTATATATTCCATTACCGAGCAGCAAAACTCCCTATTACTTAGGGTTTATGTGTTAAGAAATGAATATTGTCATACTGAAAAGTAAGCAGGGTCAAATTAAGACAGCACCGGGCAAGATGCGGCCCAGGGGCCAGATCTGGTCCGCCAAGCACTTTGATCTTGCCCGCAGACTACATCTGTCTGCTTTCTATTTATATCCTGCTGTCCATGCCACCGAATTTCCAGGCTGGTGTCTCAGGCAGCAGGATCCTATTTAAATGGCTCCCAGCTTCTAGTTGTGGTGCTACCCTGACAGGGGCCAGAGCCACGAGCCCTTTAAACATCTGCAGCAACTCTAGGCAGCTGCCAGGCAACATGGTAGCTACAGGGATGGGAGCTCCGAGGCCAGGAGCTGCAGTCCCTTTTCTTTGTTTAAATTCTCCAATACCAGATAGCGGTGGAAGGAGGTTAGTCCCCAGCCCTGCCCCTTCTGCCCCAAGTCCCACCCCATCTGAGGGTGGTGGGGGTGGAGCTGGCCCATGACCATGTAGCAAAATTAATTAAGTGGCCCCCTGCAAAAATTAGTGCCCACCCCCTGAATTAAGACATAGGAGCTATACAATCATGGCCAGAGACCCAGATCCTGCAGCCATTTGATTACACCAGAACTTAAACGTTCAATTAAAAAAGAAGGTTTCTAGTCCTCATCATTGGGAATAAAAGCATAAAAATGTGAAACTAGTGTAATAAATGCAAGAAGTTTGGCTGACTCAGCAGAGAGCCTGAAACAATAAGAAAACTGCATCTTATTTATACCTTGGTAGGATAGTAACTCCAAGACCTACTGCTCAGGGGATCCCTGTCAACAACATCCTTATAGAGAACTTTGTGGCAGGCAGAGGGCATACGGGGGAAGGGGAAATATGGTGTACCTCGCTCATCCACCCAATCAGATGTACACTGACTGATGAATTTCTGCCTGTCCAGACTTTGGGAGGAACGCTGTGATGTTGCTTCTGAGGGAAAGAAGTGTTGCTGCCACTACCTTTCTGGAAAAGATTGGGGGGTTCCTCTGCCTTCCCCCTTCTGTTGGAGACAGGGCCAAGGCTCAGGGAGCACAGCTGTAGGGGAGAAGACACAAGGGAGCCCATCTCATGGCATGCCAAGAGCTCTGAATCTCCTTAATCTGACCTTGAAAGTAAGCATTTCCAAACACTCTGGCTATGTCTAGACTACAAAGTTTTTGCACAAAAATGGCCGTTTTTGCGCAAAAACCCAAGAAGCGTCCACAACTCAAGCGCGTTTTTGCACAAGAAAATTTACAGTAGAACGTCATTGTGGTATAGGTATACCTCTTTCTGCGAGGAATAACTCCTTTTGCGATGCACTTTTGAGATGTGGACATGCTTTTGCACAAGAAGTTTTTGCAGAGGATCTCTTCCGCAAAAAGCTTCTTGCGCAAAAACCCTGCACAAAGCCTCTATGAAGAGGCCTACAGAGCTCTTCAATGCTACACAAATATGCCAAAAACTTTCTAAATGTTGTTATATATATACTGTATGTTTTCTGTCCTGTCCTTGATAATGAAACAGAGCTGTCCATCAAATTGTTTCTTATACTATTCACTGACAAATTTACTCCTAAACTTCACATGACGGATAGCTTCATTAAACTGCCACTTTGTGCTTCTAGGAAGAGTGGAATAGTACATTTAATATCTCACCTTAGTCATTTTAGTGTAGCCACTTTTGATTCAATAGCTTTAGAGTCTCATTTATTTCCTTTCAAATTTAAGTACCTTATATTCAGGGAGTTTTGTTTAGGCCATGAAATTTACCTCAGAGCTGAAACCTGGCATGCAGGGCTTCAGTCTGAGAGCAAATTATTGTATAAGTACTTGTAAAAAATCCCCAAAACAAAACTCTAGCAATTTATATTTAACCTTGACATATTATTTATTGATTTATAATTACTGATTTATAAATAAGTCTATTTGAAAACACATTATGTAACAGAAGACCCTCAATCCTGTAAACAGGCATATGCTTAACTTTAGGTCAAGTCTACAAGGCTATAGAAAAAGTTTGCTGCTATAACTATCCTGGCAAACCTTTCTAGTATAGAAAAAGCTAATACTGGTAAAAAAAACTGTTTATCCTGGTTTGGCAAGCAAAATAAGCTATACCTGGCAAAAGTACTTTTGTGTCAGTATAACTGTAGCTAGGGCTTTTGCCAGAGTACTTAAATAAATAATCAGACTGCCACCAATATTGCTATGTTGGCAAAAGTTTCTAATAAGCACCTGGCTTTATGCACTTGAACAGTTCCATTGACATGAGTGGTACTACTATACAGGAATGAAGTTAAGCCCATGCATGTTTCCAGGAGCTGAACATAAAAGCCATTTTAAGTAACATGACTGTAAGAAAACACAATTTTCTTATACTCATCTTATTTTAAATGACTTTTCACTTATTTATGTCTGGAAATGTTTACATTTACCTAAAAATTAGTAATTATAAAAATGGGTAAGTCTTACCTATGAAGTATTTTAATATTTTGAAAGAAGCTGAGATATGAAAAAGTATAAAACCCAACTAATATTGTTGATCAGACTCTTTTCAGAATTCTGTGAAAAGCCAATATCCTAAATCCATATTAATGCAACTGATTATAAGAACAATGCAAGACTTAGTAAGCTGTTTGTGGTAAACCCTGCAGGAACCATACATTTAAAAGACTAAATGTTAAATACATTTAAAAGACTAA